ATAACCCAGGACTCTATACTTATAATAAATATCTTTGAAAAACTAAATTGTAATAAAGATATTTAAGAAAAAGCAAATATGAGAAAATCATTGCCAGCAGATAATTTCAATAATAAATGGCATAGGAAGTTCTTCAAATTAAAGATAAATGATACCAGAAGCAAACTACAATTTCATAAAGTAGTGGAGAGTGCCATAATTAATAAATATGTTGGCAGAGATTAAAACAATTTCTTTACTTTTAATGCTTTCAAAAATCAATGGACTGTTTTTTAATATATATATATATGCACACACAAATATTTATATATACATATATATACACACACACATATCTATATAAGTTATATATATATAGTGTTTGAGACTAAAGCATATGTAAAAGTAAAATGTATTACAAAAAAAGTATAAAAATATAAAAGAAAATGTGAATTTCTGTTTTTTATACATAAAATGGTTTCATATTATTTTAAGGTAGATGTGATAAGCTAAAAATATATATTGTGCCGGGCGTGTTGGCTCACTCCCATAATCCCAGCACTTTGGGAGGACAAGGCAGTTGGATCACGAGGTCAGGAGATCAAGACCATCCTGGCTAACACGGTGAAACCTCATTTCTACTAAAAATACAAAAAATTAGCTGGGCATGGTGGCAGGTGCCTGCCGTCCCAGATACTCCGGAGGCTGAGGCAGGAGAATGTTGTGAACCTAGGAGGCAGAGCTTGCAATGAGCAGAGATCACGCCACTGCACTCCAGCCTGGGTAACAGAGCGAGACTCCATCTCAAAAATAAAATAAAATAAAATAATAAAATAAAATAAAATAAAATATATATAGTAAACTTTAGAACAGCACGACACAAACTTGCATGCTCACAAATTAAGAGTTTTAGCTAATTTAAAAATGGAGATTAAGTGGAATTTCTAAAAATAACCAATAAACAGAAAACAGAGATAAAAGAAACACCAAATGAGTAAAATAGAAAACAAATGTGGTGTTAGAATTATCCCAACTAAACTAATAATTATGTCAAATATAAATGGCCAAAACATGCCAACTAAAAGGTAGATATTGTATGATAAAATGTAAGAAAAAATACCTAACTAAATTGTGTCTAGAGGAAATACATATTTCCTGTGAAGACAGATGTTAGCAAAGATATATGAGGAAAAAAAGATATATCATCCAAGCAGTAATGTTAAGAAAGCTAATGTACATGTACTTAATTCAGACCTTCAAGATAAAAGAAACAACAACAAAAAGAAAGATAAATCTGAAAAGCACAAATAGACAGATTTAAAATAATATTTGGAGGTTTTAACTTAGCTCAAAAATTTCAAGAATAGGGAGACGAAAATGAGGAAGACTAGAGAAAACTTAAATAAAACCTTTAACCTACTTACCTAGTTGACAACCAATATTCTCATTTTATATTGATAAGTTTGCCATCACTAAGTTCCTCTGGCATCATACTTAGAGTCCCCCAAATGGTGTCAAAGTCAGTATCCCCCCAGTCTGCTATTTCTTCTATTTCTGTTGAATTTCAGTTTCACTTTCAACATTGCCATTTTTGTTTATTTGTTGTACTTTTACATCTACTGGTCAATTCCACCTTTGATTTTTCACTTTTCAAAATCTCACATAAGTGTATCACTGAAAGATAGAGACAGTATAACTCCATGCTTTCATTGGCATGCATAAACTGAATAACATGAAGTAAACAATCAGCAGCAGACTGAAAAAAGTGACATGATTGGTCACTGATGATAATGCATATCTGTTGCTTATGTTGTGATTTGATGATCTAGAGGTGAAATTTGAACCATATTTTGGAGGCACTGGTGTCATACAACTAAACCCATAGTAATGGATATCCAGGCCTATCATAAGCTTGAAAATCAAGCTAATTTCTGTAAATATTTAGCAAACTATATCTTAAGTACAAAAAGAACAGAAAAGAAATTGGAAAGTTTACTCAGTAGTTTTATTTTTGAAATAATTTTGAAGATGATATTTTTAAATCTATCATATGTATTTAAGTTTAAATAAGTAAATATGTTGTTACTAGAAACAGGAAATCAGTATGAGCAAAAACAAACATATAATAAATTACAAAATCCAATAAATTGGGAAAATCTTTGTTGAAAATGTAAGTATATAAAACAATATGACTCATAATTTCAAAATATAATCCCTAGCTATCTCCACTGAAAATACCTAGAAGCAATGCCATATCCAGCACCAAAATCTTAGTTACTATATACAGTTTTGCAATAAAAGAAACCAGGGATCTTTGGGAAAAAAAAAAAAATGTTGGCTGTAGATCTAAAGCAGTGAAAATACAAGGTAAGCCCATAATGTCATTGACCAGAAACCAAGGGAATGCTGAAAGACCAAATGATGCATGCTTAAAGGACAGAAGGAAAGCTAACTAAATTCAGGCAAATTTGATTACTGTCAAATTCTGTGGATAAACAGTGTTTTCGGAAAGTTCCAAAATATAACTCCCTTGTTTATTTGCAATTTTCTAAAAGAAAACAAAACTTTATCTAGTAGAAATGAAAACTTCAACCAAGTGAGACAGAGAGTTTTTACACAGATACCGATGACTGAGCCTTCTCAGGGTAAATGCCATTAAAGAGTAAAGCCTGGAAGCTTTACAGGCTTCATTATCTGCCCTACATGCTGTTGGGGAAAAGCTGAGTGTTGGGAAAAGCTGAGGCAGGGCTTGCATGCCTAACATAATGTAAAAGAGCCTTGGAACATGTCCAGGGTCCAGGGTCTAAAACCCCTCGTGGCCTTTGGAACACCAAGCTCTGTACCAAAGGGTGGAAGACTGCACTGCCACACAGCAATCTAAGCCCAGGGTGTAAAACCCCTCGTGGCTTGGATGGAATCCAGGGCTCAGGGCATAAAATCCCTCATGGCCTCTGGAATGTGTCTAGACTTGCTGACTCCTTGCTTCTGGTACTCCCAGGCTTGTGGATCGATTGTCTTAAACCAGAAGAACATGTTTCCCATTATATCAAGTAGCAGAACATGTTCCATATGCTTCAAAGAAAATGCTAAACTGTCACAGCTGTAGATCATGCACTTGATGCACCGCTTTCTTTCAATCCCCATATCATCACCATGTGCTTCTTTGTTTGATCACCAAAAAATAGTGTGGACTTCCAGAGTCCTGGGCCTTTGCAGCCTCCATACTAGCATTGGCCCCCTGGTCCCACTTTATGCCTTAACTTGTCTTATCTCATTCCTTTGACTCCGCCAGACTTCGTAGCCCCCATGGCCTGGTGTTGAATTTGATCACCCCAACACATGCTTTGTAAATTTTTCTACCAGTATTTCATTTTCAATTTTTATTTTAGATTCAGGAGGTACATATGCAGTTTTGTTACGTGGGTATATTGCATGATACTGAGTTTTGGAGTACAGATGATCCAGTCACCCAGGTCGCAAGCATAGTATCCAATAGGTAGTTTTTCAGCTCATTCCCTTCTCCCTCCCTCCTCCATCTAGTAATCCCCCCACTGTCTGTTGTTCCCATCTTTATGTCCATGTGTGCTCAATGTTTGGTTCCCACTGATAAGTGACAACATGCAATATTTGGTTTTCTGTTTCTGCAGTAATTTGTTGAGGATAATGGCCTCCAGCTGCATCCATGTTGCAGCAAATAACATAATTTTGTTCTTTTTATAGATATGTAGTATTCCATGGTGTACATGTACCACATTTTTTATCCAATCCACAGTTGATGGGCAGCTAGGTTGATTCCATGGCTTCCTGTTGTGAATAACATTGCAATGAACATACATGTGCATATGTTTGGTTGGTAGAATGATTTATTTCTCTCTTTGTTTACATACCTAGTAATGGAATTGCTAAGTGGAATGGTAGCTCTGTACTGTTATTTGAGAGATCAGCAAACTGCTGTCCATGGTGGCTGAATTAATATACATTCCCACCAACAGTGTATAAGGCTTTCCTTTTCTCCACAACCCCAGGAGCATCTATTATTTTTTAACATTTTAACAGCAGCCATCTGAGTGATACGAGATGATATCTCACTGCCATTTTGATTTGCATTTCTCTGATAATTAATGATAATGTTTTCTCTCAGTTCCTGATGTGACGTGCTCCTTCACATCTCAGCGATATTGACCTTTGTGTTACATTTTCTGGGATGTCTCTTCTCTTTTGCTTCCACTCCTAAATTCACCTTGTCACTCAGGGCACATACCCCCAAGCTAGTTAATTTCTTTTAATCTTTTAAGACAACAAAATTAAACTTCCTCAAATAAGTTTTTTTTTGTTTGTTTGTTTGTTTTTTTTTTGAGATGGAGTCTCGCTCTGTCGCCCAGGCTGGAGTGCAGTGGCGCGATCTCGGCTCACTGCAAGCTCCGCCTCCCGGGTTCACGCCATTCTCCTGCCTCAGCCTCCCGAGTAGCTGGGACTACAGGTGCCCACAACCGCGCCCGGCTAATTTTTTGTATTTTTAGTAGAGACGGGGTTTCACCGTGGTCTCGATCTCCTGACCTTGTGATCCGCCCACCTCGGCCTCCCAAAGTGCTGGGATTACAGGCGTGAGCCACCGCGCCCGGCCTCAAATAAGTTTTCTTATAGGTCAGGTCAGGACATTTTGTCCTATGCTCTAGTCATATTCTTCTTCTTTCTAATTATTATCACAATTTTGATTACATATTTTAATATCCCCTCATTCATTTCTGCACTAGTGTATAAGCTCTAAAAGGGGAGACAACATGTATATTTTGTTTATTACTCTGTCCTCACATAATAGAACAGTCACATATACATAGAAGGTACTCAAAAATATTTTAATGGATTAATATATGGACAAATGTAGCTAAAATTTTAATTTAAAAAATAATTTTGCCTTCTCATGTTTTACCTTATACAATTAATAAATATGCAACTTGTCTTCAATTTTAAACCAAAAATTTTTCTAATATTTAACTAACAGCTATCCTTTACTTTTGTAGAGTCATTGAGAATAATGCTGTGAAGTTCAGGATAGAGAAGAGATCAATGGTAAATCCCCAAATGAGGCAAGCATCCAATACAGGATTATTCCAACTGGTAAAATTCTGATGTGTTTGTTTATCTTCTTAATACCTTTAAACATACAGTGTGAAGGTTTGTTGATTGTATTGATCATAGAGCATCCTGTGGAGTTTTGTGTTACTCCCTTCCAAATAATAGACTCACCTTGAAAATGTAAAGGTCAAAACAAGGTAAAGGTTACAACTTCTTGACTGACAAGCATTTATTTCTTTCATGAGATTAAGATTCTTCTAAGTCATTGTCACTGATTTTCTTCTGCCAAAAGCTAGATATCTTCCCCCAAAAAACCATAGCAATTAAATGAAAATAAAGAATAGAAATAAATCAAATCAAACCATAAGAGAATTGTCAAGGTAATCGCCTTCTTTTGATAGACTATTGTATCCTATCTTATATTTGTTCTAAGGATTTTTCTCACCAGATGTTCATATTTTCTAACATCCAAAATGCAATTATTGAACTGGCTTCTGCAAAGTGACATACAACTATGTAAGAAAATATTTTAAACATTGATTATGTCAGTTTCCTCTCAAAGAGTTTCTAGAATGTGATTGTGAGGTACTTTTAGATATCATTTGGGAGATTTAGAGTTGATAATCAATGAGTATAAAGTTGCAGTTTTACAAGATGTGTAAGCTCTAGAGACCTGATGTATAACATTAGACTTGTAATTAAGAAGAGGTAATGTACACTTAAAAATCTGTTAAGAGGGTAGATCTCATGTTAAGTGTTCTTAACACAATTAAATAAACATAACAATAAAGGAACTTGCATCGGATTTACTTAGGGAAACTTAAACAAATATCTCTTTTATTTATATATTAAAGTTGAAATTAAAAATAAATATATAAATAAATAAAACAAAATAGACATAAACAATAAAAACCAGACATGGAAGCTAATTTTAATCATAGATCCATATAGGGGTACAACACTATTTATTGTTTGTTTTAGTTTTTGATTTTGTTTTCTAAGATTTGTCAAAAAGGTCTACACATTCTAATTACCAATCTAAGTAGGATGATATATTCATATGACAGGTTTCTGTGTTCAGAGCAGGCAAGAATGTGGCTAACTTCCAAAATGAATTAGACATCTACATTATCTTGATGACTGTCATTATGTGGAACGTATGCTCACACGATTACAAAGTTGGACATGTGGTTTAAAAGTACCATAATAATATGCAGCTTATTGTATTACAAAGGGGCTGATTTAAGTGGTAACTTAAAAGATACATAAGCATTTTAAAAACAAATACTTTTAAAAGTGTCTAATTTAGAAATTAACTGTACTTACTGAAATAGAATCTGACATTAAAATAAATTAAATTTTACATTAGCCAAAGTAATTCTCTTTCAGACAAAGGTGGCTAAAGATTTAAAGATTAAAACAATCAAACATTTTACGAGTTTTTCTGTACTCTTGTGTGTGCAATTTGGCAGAATAGTCCTTTTTTCTCTCCAAACTGGAAAATGTTGAGATTTGCCTTTAGGGACTTATTTAAAGTTAAAATATTTGTGCTGACTAAATTATACAAAGAATGATCTGTCATTCTTTAATGTTGCAACAATGTCAACAATTTTTTTTACTATAAATTTAAGGCCATGTTATGTGAAACTGTATTAAAATTAGCCCAGTAACTTTATGTGAGTCATCTTCATTTCTGCATAATGTTACCAGGCCTAATTTGACCCTACTTGTATTAATTCATTCTTTTATTCATTCATTCTTCCTGCACAGCAAATTTCTTTCAGAACTCCTCAAAACAATCTATATAGGTTTCTAATCTAAATTCAAAGTTTGAATTTAATTAAATTTGAACAAAAAATTACATTAAGACATAGTGGCAAATGTTATACTAATCTTCATTTACAAATTTCTCCATTAAATTATAGATAAGCTGTTTTCCATTGAGAAACAGGAAAATTTCAGATTCCCAAATATCAGTTGAATCCATGCACTGAACCCTATTATTTGTCAATAGCTCATTAAAAAATACACACACACACACACACACACACACACACTGTTCTTTTTATCTATATACATTGTAGATGGACAGATAGGTAGATGAATGGATAGAGATAGATAGAGAGAGAGAGAGAGAGAGAGAGAGAGAGAGAGAGAGCAAATTCTACTGCCCTGCCATAAGCCATATGTTTATGTGAACTAGAACTTAGATATTAAAAGAATGAGCTGGATAATCATTAATCCATTAGAAAAAATTCCTATGCTGAAATATGTCTTATTCAAGATTGAAATGTATTACTAAAGCTGAAATACACATATAGATACACAGAAGACAATTTCTGGTAACATTTACATATTAAGGGATAACATTAAAATCAGATAGCCCCAAAGTAAATAACTATAATCAGATAGATCTATGTTAGAGTACCAGCTCTGCAAACTAAGAACCATGCCATCTGGAACAAGATGACTAATTTCTGTAGCCCAAGTTTCCCAAACTATAAATATAGTATTAAAGTACCTTCCTCATTGGGCTCTTGAGACTTTACATAGGATATAGAAGCAAAAATAAATAAGATACAGCATGACACCTGGCGCATACTAACGAAACTCTGTATAGGCATGGGCAAAGACTTCATGTCTAAAACACCAAAAGCAATGGCGACAAAAGCCAAAATTTACAAGTTGGATCTAATTAAACTAAAGAGCTTCTACACTGCAAAAGAAACTATCATCAGAGTTGAACAGGCAACCTAAGGAATGGGAGAAAATTTTTGCAATCTATCCACCTGACGAAGGACTAATATCCAGAATTTACAAAGAACTTAAACAAATTTACAAGAAAAAAACAACCCCATCAAAAAGTGGGCAAATGATATAAACAGACATTTATCAAAAGAAAAAATTTATGCAGCCAACAAACATATGAAAAAATGCTCATCATCACCAGTCATTAAAGAAATGCAAACCAAAACCACAATGAGATACCATCTCTCACCAGTTAGAATGGCTATCATTAAAGTCAGGAAACAACAGATGCTGGAGAGGATGTGGAGAAATAGGAACACTTTTACACTGTTGGTGGGACTGTAAATTAGTTCAACCATTGTGGAAGACAGTGTGGTGATTCCTCAAGGATCTAGAACTAGAAATATCATTTGACCCAGCAATCCCATTACTGGGCGTATACCCAAAGGATTATAAATAATTCTACTATAAAGACACATGCACATGTACGTTTATTGTAGCACAATAGAAAAGATTTGGAACCAACCGAAATGTCCATCAGTAATAGACTGGCTAAAGAAAATGTGGCGCATATACACGATGGAATACTATGCAGCCATAAAAAAGGATGAGTTCATGTTCCTTGCAGAGACATGGATGAAGCTAGAAACCATCATTCTCAGCAAATTATCACAGGAACAGAAAACCAAACACTGCATGCTCTCACTCATAAGTGGGAGTCAAACAATGAGAACACATGGACATAGAGAGGGGAACATCACACACTGGGGCCTGTCAGAGGGTGGGGAACAATGGGAGGGATAAGATTAGGAGAAATACCTAATGTAGATGATGGGTTGATGGGTACAGCAAACCACCATGGCACGTGTTTACCTATGTAACAAACGTGCACGCTCTGCACATGTACCCCAGAACTTAAAGTATATAAAAAAAGAAGTGCAGTATAGTAGATGATGATAAACACAACATAAGACAATATGGAAAATATGAGTAAAGAAGTGATATAATTCAAAAGAGGCATGGGAAGGGAAACTTTGAGAATGAACTGGGTAATTTTTCAGCTAAAACCCAGAACAACTTCTAATCTTAGAGCAGCAGAATATGGCACAAAGATGTACCATGAAGCAATCTTTTTTATCACATAATGTTCACTTAGTAAATTGGAGAAATTTCCTTTTTCAGATCTGAATATAGTTAAAATTCATATACATAAAGAGATTCCAAGCTGAGATAAAGCAAATGCCTCCCTTTAAAAACTCAGTTGACTCCAAACATTGAATACAATTTAAAATATCCTAATTAGAATTATCAAGATCTTTACATTAATTCTTAATAAAAGAATTAATGTGAAATTGAGTTCAAGAAATCAGAACATGGTATAGAGGTAGAAAAAAAAATCTCAAAACCATTTATGTAAAATTAAAACATCTACACACAGACACACATACACACACACACATATAATTGCATATTGTCTCATATTTAGAGGCACTAAATTGCAGATGGAATATTACTTAAAAAGACATTAGTTAATTATAATTTTGCTCTTTGAATATTTATAGTAAGAAGACCCAAAATAAATAAATTTAAATGAAAATTATATGACACAGAAGACATTTCTAGAAATTTTTATGTGAACTAGAACTTTGATATTAAAAGAATAAGTGGGATAATCATTAATCCATTAGAAAAAAATTCCTATGCTGAAATACGTCTTATTCAAGATTGAAGTGTATTACTAAAGCTGAAATATACATATAGATACACAGAAGACAATGCCTGGTAACATTTACATATTAAGGGATAATGTTAAAAATAGATAGCTCCAAAGTAAAATTTGATAATCTACCAATACGAGATTCAGAATAGGTTACAAATTTTTTTTATCAGCAAATCAAATGTTAGAGAACAATAAAACAATTCACAAGGTTTTGAGAGACAAATGAATGGACGTTCTTGAACTGTTGTATAAATTATATCAAAAGATATCCAATTTTGAACATGGAAAAGTTTAGAAATAAAGGTTTAGAAATAAAATTTATCAGTTACTCTGCTGTGTAACAAGACATTCTGCCATATTTACTGGCTTAAAACAATAGACAGTTTGTTGCTCATGAATCTACGTGGATCTGCTGGGGTTGTCTTCTGGTATTTCCTAGGTTTCTTCCTGCATCTATGGTTGTCTTCAGGCGGGCTAAGCATTTCTGGTGTTCTTGGTAAGGTATGATATTATTTCTGGAACTGGAGCTAGTAGAAACTGAGCTGAATAGGTTCAGTTCCACATTGTCTCACAGGCTCCA